TAACTGATAATGATAAGGCTCCCTCCACCCCCCCAGTGCTCAGGCCGTGGGCGACTGGTCAGATCTGGTCGGGAAGTAACTCAGCTAGTCTCAGAGGACCAGGTTAACAGAGATGTGAACCAGGTTCTCAAGGTCTATGGTGGCCACAATTATTTTCTTATTATAACTATAAGAATGGCTGATTATGGGCTGGAGAGATGGTTCAGAAGTTAAGAAAACTTGCTGTTCTTCCAAAGGTCCTTAGTTCAGTTCCCAGCAACCACATGGTAGCTCACAACCATTTACAGTGAGATCTGGTGTGCAGATATAGAATGCCTTATAAATAATAAATAAATCTTTAAAAAAATGGCTGGCTAATTTTTTTGGGGGGGCACTAATGTTTTTTTGTTGTCTTTTTAAATAGCTTTGTACTTTTGAAGAAAAATATAATAGAATTTAAATAGTTCTCATATGCTTTCCTTATAGAGAATATCATGAGACAATCAGCAAAAGCCTGAATAAAGCCTTTTGTGTGGATAATTGGACTATAATTGTGTTAATGCCATGTTTTTAATCATCTTAAGGTGACCAAACAGGAGAACGCCCTTGTTGATCAGAAAGATGTGCTGAATTACTAGAGCAAAAGATCAAAGGTCTATATTTAATTTACAAATAGTTCAAGAACAAATACATATAGACCTGCATTTCTATATATATTTATTTTGAGATAAGGTCTCATGTAGCCCAGGTCAGCCTCAATGGCCAATATGACCCGAGCTCTTGACCATCTTGCCTCCACCTCCTGAGTGCTAGAATCACAGCTGGGCACCCCTACCCCCAGTTTCTGAGATGCTGGGGATGGGACCCAAGGCTTTCTGCACGTGAGGCAGGCACTCTACCCACTGAACTACATCCCCGTCTCTACCTAGGCTGTCTTGACCCTTTGTATAATCCTTGCACAGGATTTTTTTGTACTAGTTTTGCAACTAGAAGTCTGAATTTAGGCAAGATGGCAAGCTAATTTTTTTTCCCCTCTCAAATCTGAAAAATAAAAAATGTTCTAATGCCATTCTGGATCCTGTCACACTCAAGCAGCAACAGGGACCCTTTCGTGGAGTCCTTAGTAGGTGCCAGGAAGGTGCTAATTGCTTTTTCAGGTTTGTGTCCTTGAATCCTCAGCAGCCCAGGGAAGAGGCAGTCATTGCCCTTCATTTCTAGGTAAAAAAATCTTTAGTCCAGGAGGGAGATACCTAAGGTCCCCCTGCTAATGAAGAATGGAATTATAATGGGCTCCTTGAAATCAGAGCAATGGAAGATTTGCTCCACCAGACAACAGGGCTCTTATGCTAAGGACTGGAGTCCTTGCCTATGGCTGCCAGCTGGATCTGCAGTCTCCTCATAACATGTCCTGCTCTGTCTCCATATGGCCTTCCCCTACCTCCTCTTCTGGGACAGGCCATCTTTTCCCCAAACCCCCCACCGAGGGAGGATCCTCTCTCAACTCTGCAGTTCCATAGCACAACTCCAGCCCCCCCTCCCACTTTCTGTCTCTTGCTATAGTTCTTTTAGCATAGGCAGAAGAGTGATGCCATATCAAGTTCCAGCTCTGGACCTGGATGCTTAGATTCCAAACCTGGATTTTCTGCTACGGGCTGTGTGATCTTGGGTGAGTTATTTCTCCTCTCTGAACACCTCACAAAATCGCGAACAGTCACTACATCGTCTGGCAAGCGGCAGTTAACTGAAATCTTACTTACTATTCCCCAAATGTTGGTTTTACATTTTTCTTTTCAGATAATTTGGTTATGAGCATATGTCCAAGTTCTATTTCTAGCTTGCCACACAAACAAGTCCACAGCTTCCGTTAGTGAAAGAAGGTTCTTGGGAAAAAAGCATGGTTGACTGACCATTATTAAACTGAATACAAGACAAAGGGCATCTGATAATCACTGGGTGTTTGGGTAGTTGATTTACCTGAAGAGGTTCTGATCCTGTTGAAGTTTATCAGAAAATTGCTTAAGCACTCGCCAGAAATACTAAATGGCCTGAGAAGGGGCTGTGAGTTCCATCAGAATTCTATCCCAGACCCAAATGGGGTCTCTGTCTCCTTAATCACAGTGACTGCAGCTGACACTTCCCTGTGGCCTGACTAGAGCTGTGTGGCAGGCGCAGCTTGAAGCATGAGACCTTGTTTGCTGCTGTCTCCCCCGCAGCCTCACTTCCACTTAGAATGCTGTTATAGGGCGAGGCTGCCTGGGCACAAAGTGCTGTGGGATAGGCAACTGGGAGAAGTAGCCACAGTGTCCTACACAGTGTAGACACAGCCTCCCTCGTTCCCCATGACAGAAATAAATGGGTTTCAGAGGTCATTCATTCTCCCCCAAGGTGGTGGGTTTGGGAAGATAGATCTTGGTTAGGCTGTCTGCCTGCTACCACAGGATAAGGTACTTGCCAACTTGACAAAATACAGAGGCTGGCAGAGGGCCAAAGGCTTGTTACCAAGCACTGATTCTTTTCCTCTGACAAGACAGTGAAGGACTGGATCCAAGTTGCTTCTCAGTGTTTCCTGAGAGATCTGTACACATCTTGCCACAGTATGAACAAACAGATGGGGTAGGCAGCTGGACACATGCTCTTCTGGAAGAAGCAGGCCCGCCTGTCCACTGTGAAGGCTACTCCACATGTGGGAGGAGAGCCATCTCCAGTCTGGCTTGGAGGGAGGTCCTTTATCAATGTGTAATCCCTGGGCAGCCACAAGAACTAATTAGAAATGACAAGTCTTGGGCCCAGAAATCCAGCTAGGTGGTTAAGAGCACTTACTGCTCTTCCAGAGGACATAAGTCCCCAGCACCAACATCAGGCAGCTAACTAACACGTACCTATCACTCTCTTCTAGCCTCTGCAGGCACTTGCACTCAGGTGTACATAGATACACACATACCCATGAAGGAAAATAGAATAAATCTTTGGAAGGAAGGACTCTTGTCCCCACTCAACATCTAGCTGGGGCCCAGTGATCTTGCTTTAATCTGCCTTCCAGGGCTTGATGTAAACTCAAGTTCATGCTCAGGTGAGTTAAGCTGTAATACCTGCCCCCCTTTCTTCTTCCATTTCCTTCCATGTTCTTTGCCTCCTGTCTTCTCACGCCCTTCCTCCCCCACAAACAGCAGTGCCTTCTCAAGACACCCCTGAGATTCAGTCTAACTGTCCCAAGTGTGTGAGAGCTTCTGCCAGAGACCTTGAGCTGTTTCCTCTGCCTGGAACATTCTATTCTCCCTCTAGACAGAGCCGTGTTTACCTCAAGTGTCTTGAATGTCACCTGACCAGCCTTGGCTTCCTTTCTTGTCTGATGTAAAGGAGCAAGGCCCTCCTACCTGTCTTCTCATGTTTCAATTCTCTTCTTTGCATGTACAGCTTTGTGACATGTTTACTGATTACTTCTTCCACCAAGACTGTTGGTCTGTGGCCTATCTTTGCATTCTCTCTGCTGAATCCTTGCAAGCTGCCCTGCCTCGAGAGCCAGAAGACATCTTACTGCTATCCTGTGCCAGAACTCCACATGCAAAATAAAGTAGAAAGAGGTGGGAACCAGCCAGAGCTTGCCGCCCAGGACCCTAAGGATGTTTTGAACATAAGAACAGGGTGTGGTGGCGCATACCTATAATCTAAGCACTCTGGGAGGCAGAGGAAGGCAGACCTCTGTGAGTTCCAGGACAGCCTGGTCTATAAAGTGAACATAGGACAGCCAAAGCTACACAGAGAAACCCTGTTCTCAAAAACCCAACCAATCAAAAAACCCAGAAAAGAACAAAAGACCACTACAGTGAGTACCCAAGGAGAAGATGGTACCTAGAGGCTGGAGAACTAGGGACGCCCCTTTTTATAAGCTCTCCTACAGAACCCTTGGCTCCTTAGCCCCTGGGCCTGTTTACGATGTTGCAGGTCCCCTCTTGTTGTGGACCATTTCTCCAATTCACAAATCTAATCCTAACTTCCTTTGGGGACTGGAGGATTAGGGAGGTAAGAGTCTGTGAGCCAAACTGTTAAAATAGGTGTCCTTATTACAAAGGCTCCAGAGAGGCCATTCTCTTTCCTATCACATGAGGATATAGCAAGGCCTTTTGCACATCCTGTAGAAACTATCCACAAGCCAGCTGGCACCTTGACCTTGCCAGCTCCAAAACTGTGAGAAAATTCCATCACCTAAGCCAGCCAGTAAGACATTTTGCTACAGTATCTCTAGCTGATACACCTACCTCTGCCCCACCATGGTGCCCAGTTGTCCTGGCTATGCTACAGGTTGAGGTGGGGGACAGTGTTAAGCAGCTTCTCACAAACGTTAAGTGAAAAGCAGTTTGTGATTTCCTTCTTCAGAGTTCTAGCCACATACCTGTTCCCTCCATGCCAAAGCCCAGACAAGGGGGAACAGAGCCTTCATGGACTGTCTCCTGCTGTCTCTTCTCCAGCTTGAACAACTTTCTTAGCCTCCAACTTTTCTTCTCTTCCATCCCACCTGGCATCCGACCCAGTGGGAGCAGTTCTGTACCTTGGACTCCAAAGCCAGTCCCTGAGCATACCCCGAGTCCCTATGGCAAGTACCCCCACCAGTTAACAGTAATCTATCCTGTCAGGAGGGTGCCATGTAATTTATACCCCAGTCTGTTTGCCCACTCGCTTCCCTAGTTTTAGGATGGAGGCCTCACTTCCTAGAACTGACACCCCAGCTTTTTTTTTAACCATCACAGGGCCAACCTCCCTCCACAAAGCACCAGCACAGGCACCTTCCCAAAATCCTGACCTTGACGCTCCAGCAATCTGTCAACTCCATCAAGTCCCAAATGCAAAGGCTACCAGCCTCAGCTGCACACTTCCAATGCCTTGCACTGTGAGTCACATCGGAGCATTAGGAACAGGAAAGGGATAAGGAACGACAGGAGCTGGCCTTTATTTTAGCCCTCTTCCACACCCAGCCCTGTGAGCTCATGTGTAGACACAGATTTAAAAGGGAGGTTGAATTAATCTGTATTTTAAGGTTTATTGCGGTGGTTGGGGAGGTACCAGAAAGTTGGCAATAAATTCAACAGAAAAGCTCTTAGTCACCAGTCATTCCAGCAACTAGCAGACGGACACAGGAATAGAACATAGCCCTCTGAGGCGCTGGTATCAAGGCTTTGTATGCTGGTGTCTCCCATGCCTGAGCCAACTACTAAGCATAGTAAAAAGCTGTTTCATGATGATGAGTGTGTCTCCAGTTTCACCTCGAGTTTGGTCTTGTCCACAAACACCTAGAGAATAAGAAGAGAACAACACTTTGGATCTCCACCTATATAATCAATCACATAGCCTCTGGCACTGTTCGCTAATTGTACGCTGACAGCAGGTCAGAGCTAGACAGGCTCAGAGGGGACCAGACTCCCTGTTGCTTAAGCCTACCCATCTCCCAACACTGCACAGAGCAGACACATCAGCTCTCTACCACAGGCTCTGGAGGCCTCTCTTCTACAGCCATGGAAGGCAGGAAAGGCCGTTCCACAGGATGTGACTGGGGCTCATGGGATACTTGCAAAACTGGGCCAGAATAAAACCCCTCGAAGCAGAGCCCTGCTTCTACCTCCCTTCCACAAGCCTCGAGGACACTGCCCAGCACTGGTAGAGGGCACTCCGTGAGTCTGGTGTCAGAAGACAAAGGAGACCAAGAGGCTATAAGAAAGATTTGTTCGAAAGCACCAGGGTTTGGCAAGGACAAGAATGAATCCTCCAAACACGGGGAAAGGCTTTCGGCTTCCTCTCCCTGCACTATCAATGACCAGGGCACAGGCAGCCCACAATCACTTTCGAATACAGGGGCAGAGGGAAACCACAATGGGCGGCTTAGGAAAGGCCAAGCTGGTCTAAGTGACCAGGAAATAGTGACCACATTTATAGTGTCTATGGGAAGCGGCCTCCCAAAATGCAGCACTGCTAGGAATCTCCTGGAGAGCTGCTCAATACTGCTGAGTCCAGGCATGATCTCACTCTTACGCATGCCGGGGGGGGGGGGGGGGGGGGGGCTTCAGGAAGTGCAATTTAAGAACCACCACTCCAATGGTGGTTGCATTTCTTGCACTTCTTAAAGTACAAGAAAGGACAAGGTTGGGGGGTAATTCTGAGGACTCACTAGTAAGGAAGTCTGGCATGGGACTGCCCCTAACAAGTGCCCAATACAGTTCAGAGAAGGCTGTCACCCCAACTTGTCACCCTTCTCAACCCAACAAGCACTGCAGACCTAAGTGAATCCAAGGGGCACCCGCTTCCCAAGGCCTCCCGTGACCCCAGAGCAACTCTGTAAGCACCATTTCATACCATAAGGATGTACAGCAGTGAGGTGGCCAGGGCTGGGGAGGCATGTCCCTGCTGGCCTAGCGGGGAAGAAGCCTCTGCCTCTCCTTATGCCTGTGGCCTTTGCTGGACCACTGGAGACATACCTCCAAGGACCTTGTTCTAGCCTCTTGCTGAGCGCAGAGATCAGCTGACATTCCTGCGGAGGCAAGCCACATTCAGCACCTCATACACAGTCAAACAAAATGTTCACCAGGAACCAAGACACAACCATGATGAGCGGCCTACAAAACTGCAACAGCTTCTTCCTGGAGCCTGAGTGTCTTCGTGTTGGGGACCCAACTCAGCACACACCAGCGCTCCACCACTGAAATGTTAACCCCAGACCTCCACTTCCATTCTTTTCCTCTGCACCCATCCTTCACAGGTGAAGGCCACCTGTGAAGTCTTGGCTACCATCTCAGGGGAATGGGTGTCCTTCTTCCCTTATACTGAATACATTGTAACTTCTGATAAAGAAATTGGTTTTCCTGGTTTCAGTTTGGCAAAGAAGCAGTTTGGATAGGTGTGTAGGTTTCAATGAGACCGACCCCCATAGGCTCATACATTTGAATACTCAGTACCTAGTTGGTAGACTGTTTGAGACCAATTAGGAGGTATGGCCTTGATAAAGGAGGTCTCATGGGTTGGGGTGGGAGAGCATCGAGGTTTCAAAGGCCCATGCCTCTCCCAGTTAGCTCTCTGCCTGGTGGTTCTATCTCAAGATGGGAGCTCTCAGCTACTGCTCTAACATGGCCCTGCCTGAACCACACAGGTCATGAACAGACTCACCCTCTGAAACTCTAAGATCCCAATAAACTCTTCCTGGGCCCCAGGTACACACATGGTATACACACATATATGCATTCACAGATTCACCCACAATAAAAAAATGCCAGATTGTATTTTGGTCTGCAAACCGCATTTTTAAAAAAGCTCCAAGGGGCTAGACAATTGGCAGAACAGCAAATGACTAAGAGCGGTGGCTTCCAAGTGATGCCAATACACACTTCACCACAAGAGACTCCGCGGGCTAGGAAGTGAGCTGCACATTCAGTCTCAGGGAGCGCCTTCCCTCAGTACAAACCTAAGGCCTCTATCACACCCTATCCCATCTCCGCCAAACCCACAGCTCTGCTACTCCAGTTCCATGTTTCCCTCCCGTTATCTCCCCTCTGCCCCTATTTGAGAACTTCTGGAACCTGTCTAGGCACAATGGCTTCAGAAGCAGCTCTTTAGAAATCTGTGCCTGCCTATCACCTCACAACAGGCAAGCAAACACCCCAAGTTTCTGGAAACAGGACACCAAGCAGCAAGGACCCACCGCACTGACTTGGGTAGCTTCCAGAAAGCACTCCACTTCTATAAGCCTGCAAAGGAAGACGTGAGTGTAGGAAAGCTCCAGGCTTTGGAGGGGTCAGGACAGATGCCCCAAACTCAAACATGTGTTCCAGCATCCTTTTCCTGCACTACCAATGACCGGGGCACAGGCAGCCAAGATCACTTTCGAATGCAGGGGAGAAAGAGAGAAAGAGAGAAAGAAAGACAGACAGACAGACAAAAGGGAACCTAGAAAATAGGAGACAGGTGCCAGGGCCAGATGCAAGCCACAGAGAACACATGGATCCTGTAGCTAACATCAATTGACAGAACCCTACCAATCTGTCAATCTGTCAGGAGAGAGTCCATCTATGAGCTCACGGCCATAAAAATCTTTATCATAGCTTTAGGTTTTCCACGCCAGGAAATGGAGGTTCAAAATAGTTAAGAAAGCCTCTAGTGGAATCTGGGACTCGCTGGCTATTGGCTGTTAGCTGGGTGGGGGCTCGAGGCTGAGCCCCAGCTTTCTTGCGGTGGGGCTGGGCTGCTAGTCACACCGGGCAGTCAGTGTTTGCGTGACCAGCACCAGAACATCACAGCTAAGACATGGGTTCCCCGGGCAGAAGAAAGGCACAGGTGTGCGTGCATTTCTGCCACCAGGAAAGGGATGCTTCAAAGCCAAGGGAGGGTGCCTCGGGAAGCCAGTACAGATGCTCCACATGACCCTTAACCCTTTCTCCTACTGCCCAGCTCTACACTGCTAACAAATCACTGCTACCTAGCACAATGATGAAGAAAAAGGTCAGAGGCCAGTGGCATATACAGGTGTCTCCAATGCCTACATCCATCCCCTTCTCCTTCCAACTCACAAACACTGGAAAAGCCCCATGTTCTCTCCTAGCAGGGATCTGGAGGTGTCATGTATGATCCAAGGGAATTGGGGTCTGAATGGGAGGATCCACACACCACCCCCTTTCTCACTGCACTGCCACCAAAGCAGCAGGGAAACTATGCAACTCCAGGTGCTCAGGGGCTGAAGCTTCAGACAAGACACAGTCCGCTTTCAGCTCCCTCAAACACTGACACCTTGACTAGGCCTCTGAACACAGGGCCAAATCACTTACCTGCCATGACCACCTGAGCAGCCACAGTGGCCTTCATACGGAACAAGGGTCACATTCACCAGAAGAGATTGGCGGTCTCTGGAGACAGGGCCTGATCTGCTGTGCTGGCCGACTAAAAGCACGGCATGGCACCCTGCAGTGTACTGTCTCTGGTGGCACTGGGCATGGACCTGAAGAGTAGCACAGACACATCGATTATTCGGCATTGCTTGATCCTCGTTCCTGCCTGTTCCCACAGGCTGAAGAAAGAAAACCCTTCCCAAGTGGCTACCCAAGGCAATGATCAAGAGTTGGCCACAAGGGGAAGAATTCAAGGAGAGGAAACAGCAAATCTGCGCCCTCCTCGACCTCCCTGAGCAGGCTGTTGTCAGTCTACACTCGACAACACCATACAATGGGTGGCCGTCCCTTTGTCTTTCATTTGTTCCACACCGACTCTTGACTAACCGAACCCAGCAAGATGTGTGCTAAGAGTCAAGCACTATAACCCCTTTTCTACACTGTCACCTGAAGAGGTAACAGTGGGTGTGGAGGTGACGAAAGCTTCTGAAGGAAGCTGAACCACACCCCGCCCACGCACTGGAACAGGTCAGGCTCAAGTTCCATGCCACGCCACTGCCTCTCAAAAGGGCAGAATGACAGGCAGCAGGGACACAGCAGGCAGGAAGTGGTGTGGGAAAGCACCAGGGTTTGGCAAGGACAGCTGTGGATCCTCCAAACACGGGGAAAGGCTTTCGGCTTCCTCTCCCTGCACTATCAATGACCAGGGCACACACAGGCAGCCCACGATCACTTTCGAATACAGGGGCTAAGAGGAGAGGGCAAGTTGAGAGGTAAGGCTATGGCCAACAAGCTGGGTAATGGCTAAACTGGAAACAGATGGACAGACAACAGCCAGATTTTCAACAGAGAGCAAAGAAGCTGCTTCTGACTGAGCAATCAGTCACTTGCTTCTTAAGGAGAGTTCTCAGAAGACTGGCTGGGAGTGGTGACAATTCTGGCCACTGGCCCACTTAGGGCTGGGTCTAACTGCTGTGGTCTGTCTACTCACTTGCTATCACGTGTTACATAGAAGCTGGCGGTCACTACATAGTAGTGACTGAGCTCTGGATAGTGCATATGACCCCCAAACCCTTCCTCCATTCTGCCATCAACCCACCAAAGTAAGGGTGCAAGGGAACAACACAGGATAGGGATGGGGTTGGGACATAACAGGACATTAATCCCAAGTGGCTGCAGGCACACCTCAAGGAACCCAAGGAGGGCAAATGTGGATCAGATGGACTCAGCCTCACCTCACCTTCACACACTCCCAGCCATCATCGGACAAACTGCATCTCAGATCCCAGGGGACAATCCTCACTCCGGAGCAGCATGGTCTAGAGGTCTGGAAGGATGGAGACAGCTCTTATGGCCGCTGTGCACCCCAGCTGTTATTTCTGCAAACAATAAGCCCAGGTGAACCATCAGACTAGCATCTACTTACCTTGGAAGCACACAGAATACGAGACACAGAAGCTGCCAGGCAGCAAACCATGTGGCATGGACCCCAGCCCTTTTCTCTGTAATGTGTACGGGACTCTCACTACGTAACATGGACCTATACTGTCCCTTGGGTCATTCTGGCCACCACCAGGCTTCTCTCTACACAGTGGCTTTGCCAGGCCTTTCTCAAAAACGGTCTGAACTCCATACCACCCTTTTCCTGGTACCCACCGGAAGGCCATTTAGAAAACACCGGAGCTTCAAGTTGCTCCGAAATAGCAGCCCTTACCCAGGCATCCTCTCCCTGGGTAGTGGGCGCCCCCCAGGGAGATGAAGGGAGTAGGAGGATCCAGCTGTCGCAGAAGCTGTAATCTGTCGACCCAGAGAGCTTCCATCGGCCTCCAGGAGGGCTGCGCAGTCTACAACCTGGCAGGAAAGTACAAGGGAAGAAGCTGCAGTGAGGACAGGACGGGGCATCGGGACTCAGATGTTGCGCCCAGCGTCCTCAACTCTGGTCGAGTTCGCCTTGGAAGGAAGCTAAACAACAACCAACTTTTTTGCAGGCGACAGACGTGGCTTTGGGGCTTCAGATACCATAACTCGGGGGGAGAGCTGAGACAGGAGAAGCACAGTGCTCGGAGCCCTCCTCCAGACCCAGGCCCGCTGCCCACAGTTTCCCCGATGGAGGGATCGGAGCTGCCCAGGCGGCCCGCCGCACTCACCTTGGTGCCCTGCATTGGGCAGCCGAGCAGACAGCCTGGGAACACGGGGGATGTCTGTAGATTACGGTGGATGGCATTGAGCACACGTTGACCACAGCCACGCGACAGGAAACTCAGCTCTTGAGGCTGAGCGCCGGCGGAAATACAGATGATAAAGTATGCAGAAGCCTAGAGCAGCATGTCCGACCGGCGAGACCTCCAGCGCCGCCTGACGGAGGGAAGACCAATAACGGCTTGGACGTGTTAAACTTCATCAGTGGCAGATTTTGGGAGGAAATCTTCCTTCCTTTGCTTCATTTTTCTTTTTGTTCTGAAGCAGATCTGTCTTATTCACTACTAACTCCACCTGGCCCAGAGGTTCCACAAAGGAACAAATGATGTGTTCACTCACGTTTCCTTAAACACCACCTCACGGAGGTGTCAGTAATAGCTCGGAAGCTGGAATGTGAAGGTGAGAAAATGAGCCCAGAGAAGCAGACGAAGAAGGCCTGCGTTGTTGAACGTAAAAAAAATCTCAAGGAATTGGCAGATGGAGCGATTCCCTTAACCAGAGAAGGCCTAAGCCAAGTGACAGAGATGACAGATGGATATCTGGGAAAGGGGCTCACGTCCCCAGATCCTCACACTCGCAAACGCTGCCTGGATCCTGGGTTAAATGTAGGGCTTTTGGCCCTGTGTATAGCAACCCTGCCCTTGCTTGGGTCTGTCCGAGGAAGGAACTCCACTGGAGGAATTCAGCGGCTCACTAAGTCAGGAGAAATTGAAAGTCCAGATTTGTCCTGTGCAACCCTGAGGGTGAGGGAAATGGGGGTGAGTAGAGCTCGTATTCCACACTTAGGCGATGCCCATAGAGCTCTGAAATTGACCGCTGTGGGTCTCTGTGAGGGGAGAAACTGTGGGGCGTTGTTGCTGGGTTATGCTGAGGGAGGCACCCCTACAGACATACCTCTGCCCCCCAGTACTGGGTTAAGGGATGAGCCACCATGCCCAGCGCTAATTTTACATTTTCTAAGAGGGACTCTTAAAAGACAAAGGATAGTCTGAGCTGGGGAGATGGCTTAGTGACAAACTGTACTTGCAGAGGACCTGGGTTCAATTCCCAGTTATCAATATGGAGCTCCTAATCTCTGTGTCTGTAACTCCAGTTCCAGGGGATCTGATGCCCTATTCTGGCGTGGTGAACACTGTGTGTGTGTACACATATGGTATAGACAGGCAGAACCCTCATACAGATAACATTTTTTGAAATCTTTTTTAAGGCAAAAGGTAGAATTAATTCTGATGATGTATTTTATGAATTCAATACTGTAACCCAAATATTATGTCAGCATTATAATGGCTAATATTGCCAACTTGACAGGCTCCAGAATCACCTAGGAGACAAGCCCCTAGGCACACCTGTAGGGAATGCCTAGATTAGGTTAGCTCTGGCCATGCCTGTAAAAGAATTATCTAGATTACGTTAAGTGAGCTGAGAAAGCCCATCTTAACTGGGTGCAAACAGCCCCACTCTGTGGTCTGGGCTCCTGAACTGAACACACAGGAAAGAGCTGACTGAGCAGTAGCAATCACTGCTGTGTCCTAGTTCAGAATGCTTTGTGAGCAGGCACCTCAGCCTCGTGCCTCCAGAACTCCCCTTTTGGGATGGACCCAACCCTCAAACTGTGAGCCAGAACAACCTCCTCCCCTCTTCGCTGGCTTTTGTCAGGATATTTTAGAGAGCATGAGGAAAGCAAGTTATACAGCATATCATCATGTTATCTTTTCCTTCCTCCTTCCTTCCTTCCTTCCTTCCTTCCTTCCTTCCTTCCTTCCTTCCTT